TCTCTCTCTCTCTCTCTCTCTCTCTCTCTCTCTCTCTCTCTCTCGTACACACACACACAGACACACACTGTGACACACACACACACACACACACACACACACACACACACATACACACACTCACTCACTCACTCACTCACGCACTCACTCACTCACAATCAATCAATCAATCAATCAAACCCCTTTTTGAAGTTTTTTCGTTATTTATTTTTAAATTTTGCATCTGCACTTTTTTAAACACCTCATACCCATACAAAAAACAAAAATTCATATATAAAAAAATACAAGTGAACTCAGGGACCATATATTTCATGATAAAAAATGRTAAAAAAAAAATCCAACTTTTCTTTATATATATTTTTTTAATCGAATTTAATTTTTGATTTTTTAAAAATCCTAAATAAAATCAGATTCCAAAAAACAAAATATGGGGTTGAAGGGCTTAAAATTCCCTACAACCCCATATATATATATATTTTTTACTTATTATTTAATTCATAAAAATTCTGGTAAAATCGGGTCCGCGGCGCGGACCAGGTTGGCCGCAGACGCGGCCCCATCTGCGTCCGCCATCTGAGATCGGACCCGCGGACGCGTCCGCGGGCGTTTCATAGATTGACAGCCCCCTCTTTATCCCATACCCATGCCGCATAAACGTCCCAACACTGCTCCACGTCCCCTGCCGCATCATCTCCCCTAAACTCCACCCGTCCTGTATTCCTACCTGCAATCCCCCAATCCTAAAACTACGACCACTCTCTCCTTCGTATACTCCTCCCTCTTTAAACCACTTCTCAACTCGTTTATTAAAAACCCCTCCACCTAGTGCGTTAACCCTACGTCCAGCCCAAAACAAATAACCAGATCGTGAATCCACCCCCAGGCTCTCATACACAATTATCAGCTTTGGCAGAATGCGCAAAAAGGTCTCTTCGCCTTCTCAACTTTCTTTAACCTTATGAGGAATCGACCGCCATAGCAATCTGTCTTAGTATATCCTGGTCACACAAGGCAATTCCCAATATCAATCTCTTTATATTGCAATCGCAAACCTTCCCCGCATCGCTGTCAGCTCTCCCACAAATATAAGAACATAGCGGCATCTCGATAAGTCTCCGCCTCTCTCATCCTTTTCAGCACCCTTATCTTGCATCGTATATATTCGATCACAACCTTCAGTTTCTCCCAAACCAGCGGTCTCGCTGACTCCTCCGTAATCCCTCTCGCCAACCTATACTCTCTGTACGCTTTCCGAAACACCTTTACCTGGCTACCCTGACAAGGATCATCCCCTTCCTCCCTACCAAGCAATCTAAAGGCGCACACCGCATCTACAGTGGATGGTGACACCATTGGTTCGCCATCGCTATCGGTAATTCGACACCTGCTCTCAATTTCCACTAACCATTGACTACTTAGGAAGGAAAGAACATCCAAATCATTGCATGTCATACAACTCTCTGTACGCTTTCCGAAACGCCTTTACCCGACTACCCTGACAAGGATCATCCCCTTCCTCCCTACCAAGCAATCTAAAGGCACACACCGCATCTACAGTGGATGGTGACACCATTGGTTCGCCATCGCTATAGCCTATCGGTAATTCGACACCTGCTCTCAATTTCCACTAACCATTGACTACTTATGAAGGAAAGAACATCCAAATCACTGCATGTCATACAACTCCTGCCCACTCCATTTCGTTCTAACCACTCATTCAATCCAAGCAGCAATTTCTTCATCCCATTTCGTCATCGCCTTCCTGGCCTGAACTCCTCTATTAGCTTGCTACTCCATTCTAGCCCCGCTTGATAACTTCCAACTATTTTCGGCGTCGCTATCTTTTGCCTCCAGCATCCATCACTCGTTCGCTCGCTCCACCACTCCCTGCAAGATGACACGTCACTTGTGAGATGATGGAGGGATTTTGGGAGGTCTAGGAGGTGTGTGGGACTGCGGCCCCAACTCTATGACTCACTTTTGAGCAATCCGCCATCATCAAGGCTTTGGGTTTTTCCTATTTTATCTCGTCTGGACTCATGCAGCAACTGTCGTACTCCAGCCCATGCAGTTGGTACCTACTCGGTGGGTTCCGATTCAACCATCACTTGTTTTTTTGACAAGACACTGGGACTTACCAGTCATTTCAATCCAACTGCCTCTCGGAGGTTTTACCCCGCAGATCTTCAGTTTCGAAGTCGACCTTACTTTTATAAAAGATCAGGATCTACGGTTGCGAGCTGGTGGAACCAAGATCGGCGAAGGAGGTTTCAGCGGAACTCACGCTGCGGGAAGGAGCCCCTCGGAGGACCGGCCACCACTGGAACCAGGAGCAGCGAGTGTATAAGTAACCGGCACAGGACCGGTCACAGCAGGCTGGTTTGTCTCACGCGGAGCGGCTTCGGGATTTCGTCCGCCAGCAGCTGCGCCCATCGCATAAGTGAACCTGCAGTCACACCACAGGCACCAGTCTGCTCAGAGGCCGAGTTGTTTTCGTTGCCAGATTCTGGCGAAGCGGACCCGCCCACCCTCGATTTTCCCTCGGTGTGTGGGCCTGCGGCCCCAACTCTATGACTCACTTCTGAGCAATCGGGCATCATCAAGGCTTCATGCTTTTCCGATTTTATCTCTTCTGGACCCATGTGATAAGGGGCCTCGTTGCACTACTCTCACACATGCGCAAATTACAAAAAAAAAGGGCAAGGTATCTTTCCATGTTCTAGCGGTGGATTCATTCTCCTTTTGCACATTTGGAGAGTAGTGCAGCGAGGCCCAAGGACACAATGATCAATCTCCAGTCATCACTGCCAGCGACCATGACGGTAGGGGCTTTGTACATAATACAAAAGATACCCTTAACTTAGAGCATACACACACTAGAACTTTTTCGACTGAATTCTGGAGCTAATTGCCGTCAGATACATCCATCTCAGGCTGCAATTCCAGTCATTAACATCCATCCAGAGTAGTTCCAATGCGAGTATGCGCTTACTCGATCACAAGGCTAACAAAGCTCTGCTCTCTGGTCGACAAAAGGTTATGGAAAGTTCTGGTGAACAGAGGGCCTTTTCCAGACCACTGTCGAAACGACAAGAGAACGAATGCATCTGCCGCAGAAAGTGGTACGACGCGTCCATTGCTATTCATAGTAACGGATGCATCTTGCCCTTCTACGCTGGAAGATGCGTTTGTTCGTTTTTCGTCTCGACAGTGGTGCGGCGAGGCCCAGAATCCGTAGTATTGGGTCAACAATCGTTGACTGTCCGGACGTCGGTTCGAACCCAACTGACCACAATCAGTCTGTGTCTGTGTCCCATGAGTCGCATGAGTCGCTATCGCCTTACGTCGATTGGATTTGTGAATATGAATCGCATCAGTCGCTGAGCCTGCCCGTAGCTCCACCACACAACATTCCAAAATTCATAATGGATTAACGAGATTCCCACTGTCCCTATCTACCATCCTGCGAAACCACAGCCAGGGAAATTCAAAAAATATATATATATAAAAATTCATGTAGACCTTGCAATGCCCTCGTAACTGTTACGTTCAGAATGCTGGATAAGTCCTACAGTATCTTCCCCACACCGTGGACCTCCAGCATGCATGTACTTGTAGAATGCTGTGTAGTGGACTCACTACTGACACTCGTCGATTGGATTACGTTGTCGACCGTACCACTACGGTGACGTATCATCACATCAGAGAATGTAAATATATAGGCGTGTGGCGGCATTGTGAAATCAGTGAGGAAGTTCTTCTCTCGCTGATTCAACCGAGATAACATTCGTAAAGTTTGAAGAAGAGGTTATGGCTGAGTGTGAATGGAAGGCTAGGGAAGAGCGGAGGGAGTAGTGGGGGCAGGTTCTCTCCCCCGGGCGTTCCGAGGGCCTTTTTCCAGCATTTGCTCCTCGAGCTGAAGATTGAAAACGACGACGTGCGTACGTAAGTTGAACGCCGGAGGATTGGGGAAATGCAGTTTGCCTCGGTGCCCTGGAGAGAGGCCACGTGGAGAGGCCACGTGGGGATAGACGTGTCTTTGCCGCATATAGTTTACTGCTCTGTGCGCTTGTGTTTCTCCGAATTTCTCCGACTCTCGCATTGCCTGATCGTTCCTCTTGAGATCAAAGCGTGGTCGGCTACGTCGTTCGTGAGGATACCTGTTTCATTCCCTTACATAGCCGTTGTCAGCGTCATCAGCTGTCCGCCATAGCCGTCTGTTAGACGTTGTCAGCGTCATCAGCTGTCCGCCATAGCCGTTTGTTAGCCGTTGTCAGCGTCATCAGCTGTCCGCCATAGCCGTCTGTTCCTTTGTTGAGATGACTTCCGCTGGTCTTACATCATCGGTCTCCGTGGCTGTGGTTGCTGCAGCGGCCATGGCTGCGCCGGTGGCCGTTCTGCCACACGTGGCGTGCCGTCGTCCCGTCGTGATCAACGACCGGTCGCTGACGAAGCCGACCACTTGTCGGGCGACTCGATCTCCCCAGTCCCGCCCTTCTCTGGTCACGACAAGTCGCAGCGCTTCGCGGCGAGCTTTCCTCCGCATTCTCTCGTTGTCGTTGATAGACCTATCTGAGATGATGGAGTTGGTGTCTACCGCCGACCGCTGGTGGAGAACTGGGAGAGGGAGGGAATGCGGGTTCAACTTGCCCGCTGATTGTCGTCGGAAGCGCTCTGCTCTCCGTACTCGATCTGCAGTTTCAACGGGCGGCGGGATGGATAGCAATTATGCTGAATCGGACGATCACAACGGACCGCCGGTCGCTGACGGCAACGGATCGGCGGTCGCTGACGACAACGGACCGGCGGTCGCTGCCGTAGGCGAAGCGGTTAAAGCGCCGCGGCTGGCGGATTCCTTTGGCTGGATGACGGAGATGAGAGCCACGTCGCCGGTGCCAGCTGGTCCGAGGATGACCTTAGTCTTCGTTGGCGCGGAGGCCGCACCGTGGTCAAAGGTGGGCGGCCTGGGCGACGTTATGGGTGCTCTGCCTCCCGCTCTAGCTGTAAGTCCTTCCGACCATGGACGCGTATCACCACGGTTGTGTCTTGAAGGGCTCTTCCGCCGAACAGAACAGAACCGGCTGGCATTGTGAATGTACACGAGCAAGATTTCCGGTCAGAAACGTTCACGATTGTGGTCAAAAGTGGGCGGCCTTGGGCGACATTGTGTGTGTTGTGCTCCCGTCCCTGCAATAGCTTCGCCACTCCCTTTCTACCCTGCCTCGATCTCCTCGCGAATATAAATAAAACACAGCATGATTACTTAAAATTAAAAAAAAAAAAAAAAAAAAAAAAAAAAAAAAAAAAA